GAGGTGGCCGGTCTGTGGGGGTGGCCAGTCTTTGGGTGACGGACGTTACAGTAAGTTACAGCATACCGAAAGTGTCCGACGGAATACTTATATTCAGTGACGTCAGAGGTTTGTAGCGGCGGTGAGGGATGCGATGTTACCATGATGCCTCTCTGGTGGTGAGTTATTTCCGTGGTGTTTGGACCAGTAACGGTTTCAAGAAGCACAGGGCATTTCTAGGTACTAATAGACAGGGGAGATGGTAACCTCACTTGTATATCGTAATGACCAGATATTATAGAGTTGAAGAGATTTCAACAATACCACGTACATAGAGCATTGTAACTTATACTGAATATGCACCTTGGCCAACATGATTGACAAATCTCTACGTAGACAGAACAAGGTGGAATCGACAGTGGGGGTTCCATGATGGAGGGGAAACCCCGCCCTTCAAGACATCATAACTCTTGTTCTCTCTATTCTCTCAAGAGAACTGCCGACATATGATAGCAACTCATTACCCCCAGAGAAAACAAACAACAACCTCAAAATAGCTCTACAGTATCAACAATGGCTCCCATCGGCGTAGCATTGATCGGCGGAGGCCTGTTCGCTAAACAGGCACACATGGTGCGAAACCCCCAATACAACCACCCAATTACGTATGCAGAATGCTGAACAGAGGCCCGACAGCCTGCTATCATGAAGGCAGATAACCTCGCTCTCAAGGCCATCTACTCCCGTTCTCTCAAGTCGGCCAAGGAGACGGCTGCTTTGAACACCCGCTCCGGCCAAGAGCCGGACTTGTACTCGGCCGATTCGGGATCCGGCAAGTCTTTCGACGACCTTCTTGCTCGCGAGGACATTGAAGCTGTTATCATCGCATTGCCCATCCCGAGCCAGCCCGAGCACATCAGAGCTGCTCTCGCTGCTGGCAAGCATGTCCTTGCCGAGAAGCCGCTTGCTCCCACCGTAGCTGATGGCCAGAAGTTGATCGAATACTACCGTGGTCTAGGAGGCAAAGCTACCTTCTCGATTGCAGAGAACTTTCGCTACAAGCCATCGTTCGACTATGCTGCTGCAGAGGCCTCCAAGCTCGGAAAGCTGCAGCACTTCAGTGTACGCGTGTTCTTCTACATGAGTGAGGATTCTCAATGGTATGGCACCGCTTGGCGCGCAAAGCCTGAGTTTCAGGGTGGTTTCCTGCTTGACGGCGGAGTGCACTTCTCTGCAGCGACCCGACAGCTCCTCACAGATCCAGCAGTCGATGTGACAGCCTTCACGACTCAGACACAACCTCACCTGGCACCAATCGACACCGTGAACGCGGTGATCCGACTCAAGAGCGGTGTAAGTGGCACGTATCAGCAGTCCTGCGGCTCCAAGATGAGTACCTCAGTATTCCAATTCGGCTACGAGAAGGGTTCTGTAGTGGTCGACGGAGATAAGGTGACCGTTACGCCGTGGGATGATGAGCCTGTTGTCAAAGAGTTTGAGAGAACGAGCGGTGTGACGGAGGAGGTTGAGGCGTGGGCGAAGGCGTTGGCTGAGGGAAAGCCGGATAAAAGGCAGAGCGTCGAGGAGGCGTTGGCGGATCTCGAGTTTTTGGAGTTGATGTTTGAGAGTGGCCTTAATGGAGGGCAGGCTAAGAAGTATGAGTGTCAGTTGTGAAGGTGAGATTTTGGTGCAAGCAATAGGTCGGTGTGTAAGTCACTGGGTAGTAATATTGCGCCAGGAATATGAACAGGCATCAGATACAGCAGCTAATAGTAATACAAACGAAACATTAGCCGAATAATGTGACTAAATCTTACTGGCTTCGTGAGCGACTTTCTGAATTCGCAGTACTGAGCCTCTTGGCCTTAATGATCCTGGTTTGCGATATACTGGTTGGTAGGCGAATAGCACAGCAAGAAAGCTTCTGACGTTGAATCAGGGTGCTAAAATAAACTGGTCTAAAGTCCTAATAAAATATACTAAGTTTACCTACGCTTTTTTATCACTTAGATAAGAGGTCCTAAGTTTTCTTGCCTCCCCTTGACTGTACATATGCTTACATATATCCTTAAAGCTTAGCCTTTGCTTTAATTGCATCGTCATCAACGACCAGCTCCTGCAGCTTCTCACGAAGCGTTGAAGCCATACCATCCTTTAGCGGTCTATTCGTCTCACGATCAACATACACCTGTATAAACTCTCCTACCGCCTTCACCTCTTCCTTGCCCTTCTCAAAGAGCGCAGTCTCGTACGTGACGCTAGATTTACCTAGCTTGTTGACACGTAGGGCAAGCTCCGCGACGGCAGGGTACGCGATAGACGAGAAATAGTCTGTGTGGGTGTGCACGCACATGCCAAACTGTGGTGCTGTAGGAGGATGGAGACCACAATTCTCAATGAGGTATGCGTTGATGATGGAGTCGAATCTGAGAATTGAGGGTTATTCGCTGGATCTTGAGATCTTAGAGGGATCGTCGCTTTTGGTCACTTACAAAAAGTTGTAAACGGAATTGTTCATGTGGTCATACATATCATTGTCGTTCCTATTAACAAGGGAGTCAGTCTATCGAAGCGATAAATCATATCCCTTCTACACGTGAGAGATGTCACCGTGACGGTAGACGCATTCCGCAATTTGCAAAGATAAGGTCAAATGATGAGCGATGGTAATAATCCGGAGCAAAGGATACGGCTTTAGCTTAAGCATCAATGAGGCGCAAACTCACCATCGCGTGCGGTAGTCAAGGAAGAAACGATAGTCTTCTCTCTTGCGGGTCTTTAGCTCCGCTGGTGAAGCCTTGTTACCCATTCCGCGGTTCGCTTCTCTGGGGTAAAGATAAACGCCTGTTGGGTGGTAATGGATCCGTAGCGTTCTCGACCGTGGCTTTTACTTATGCCCTTTTCACTTTACGAAGGACTTGTTCTGTAGTAAACAACCGGTAGCGCCGTCTGCGTGGGTGGAGAGGCGTGAAGTCTGTTGGGCGAATTGCCAAGGAAATAAACAAGTCAAACAAGAAATGCGACCGAGGTCAACGAGTCTAGACTTTTGGCCCAAGGAAGGGACTGACACTGATGATTTGATCCTTCGACAGTTGCGCGCGATGTGAAATATGGGGTAGCTTTGTAGTCTGGACCCCTTATGTCTCCGATGGGTTTAATGTTATTTTGATGAGGAAACAGCCCCAGCGTTTTGAGAGTCGGGAGCCGAGGGCAAAATCTCACGATGAGGCAGAATGAATTGAAATGGAATAAGATGAGATCCGAGAAACAATGAATTCCTGGGGTATTCACTTTTGGATGTGTTTCCGAGGTTCTGGGTTGCCCAATCTCAAAATGGAAAAGCCGAGGTTCGAACCAACCTTTGACGTACGTGCTGCCCTGAACTTTGAATGTTTGTTGTTCCCAGCCCCGGGAATTGATGAGGCATTCCCGTCTTCAACAGCGGTTTGTCCGCGCGCGGGGCAGATTTTAGTGGACGGTTGACCTAGATTCCGCGGTCGTGGCAGCTAAGGTCGGGCACTCAAATCCCCTAGAGCACCCGAGAGACAGTGGATGACGGGGAGGCCTGGACTGGGCTGGGCGCCTGCAGGCCAGTGCCCTGTTCGTCAGTAGACTCTAGACTGACCTTTTGGGCTCTTGGCGGGGGAATCTTGAAATCACCTGCCATCACGGGCAAATCACGGCTTTACCTTTGCTCTGCAGAGGGTCGACTCATCCAAAAAGGCTCAGACCGCCCGGGGATTAACTACCTAGAACAGGCGAGGGGTCCATTCCTGCCGCATGTCACCGCTCGTTTCTGCCGTTGGCTCAACCCACAGAAAAAGATATCGTCAGAATTTCAAAGACAATGTTTGCCAAGGGAGTCTCGCTAATCCCCGGGTCCACGCATACAACGTAGACATCAGTGATAATTTGTCACTACACATTCTTTCAGCCCTTTGCCGAAAAACGCCCTTCTCTTTCATGCATATCGTTGCCTGCCGCACACAAGTTTAAAAAAGCGCCCCGAAAAACGCCGCATCTTCTCCTCGACTACTGCTGAGGAATGAGGGCTGCTGCTCTTCGCCTCGGCCCGCACTCCTCCGCATTACGAAGATCTAGGTCCCTGTCCAGGGCCACAGTCAGAGCCTCCTCGTTACCCTCTCGCGAAAGACGCCCCTTTGCAATGGCTGCGTCGTCACCAAAGCTCGAGGCTTCGCCATCGGAAGACAACATCTTTGCGAATTCTTTCCAGGATCTTGATATTCATAGTGACAAGGGTCTTACACCAAGCCCTGTCCCGAGCCAACCAAGCTCCGATCCACCACAAGCCGCCACCAACAACAATAAACAACAAAATCAAAGACGTCCAAAGCAAAAGAAGAAGCAAGATCCGCCAAAGGTCTCGGATTCGGATGAACTCCTCATTACACCGGTTGGAGACCCTTGGCCTCGGCCGTATCACTTTGAGGGAGATGGATTGCGTCGGATAGTTCCATACCATTTCACTTACAACACACATTGCAAGGAAAGGTGGCGGAACAGGCCCCTCCTTGAGATCTATGAATCTGAATTCAGGGACCGACCACTAGAGTATTATCGGCAGTCTATGATACGGGGAACTATCTTCGTTAACGGTCGGCGAGTCGGGCCCGATTATATTCTCCGGAATGGTGACCTCATTTCTCACACTCTGCACCGTCATGAACCTCCGGTAACAGAGGACCCTGTGCAGATCATCCACGAGGATGAAGATATGATCGTTATCAACAAACCCGCGGGAGTTCCCGTACACCCTGCAGGCAGGTACAACTTCAACTCGGTCGTTGAGATTATGAAATCAGACCGCGGCCCAGCATTCTTGCCATACCTCTGCAACCGCCTAGACCGTCTCACAAGTGGCATCATGTTCATCGCAAAGAACCCAACTGCCGCAGAGGCGTTGGGCATCAAGATCAAGGACCGCACAGTAAGAAAAGAATACATCGCACGAGTAATGGGCGAGTTTCCTGATGGCGAGGTCGTTTGCGACCAACCCATTCTACAAATATCTCCTAAGCTTGGCCTTAACAGGGTGCGCGCGAATGGCAAGACAGCGCGAACTGTGTTTAAGAAGTTGGCCTACTACCCTGCCGAGGGAGAGAACGACGTTAACGAGCGCCCTAAAACTCCTGAACAGGTTCAAGAGGAGAAACTTCGCCCTTGGGTAAACAAGAAGGGATACTCGATTGTTCGATGTCTCCCTGTTACGGGTCGCACTCATCAGTTGCGGGTTCACCTTCAACATCTCGGCCATCCTATTCAAAATGATCCTATCTATGCTAACCGGCGGGTCTGGGGCGTCGATCTGGGACAAAACGACGCCGATGCGACTCAAAATACAGACGAAGACATCGTCAGCCGGCTGTCTCGGATGGGCAAAGACGAAGTGGCGGAAGCTGTTGCTTATTACGATGCCATGGTGGATAGATATGAAGAGAAGAGGGCCGAGAAGCTTACGGGCGAGCTCTGCGACATTTGCGAGACACCTCTTTACTCAGACCCTGGTGAACATGAGCTGTCGCTATGGCTCCACAGTCTTCGGTATGAAGATGCAGGTGGTGCCTGGTCCTACGTTAGCCCGTTGCCTCGATGGGCTCTTCCACCGGAGGGAATGAGTGGCCCAACATCGGTGGGTGGGATGGAGGAGTTGGTGGAGGCGGTTAAGGACGAGAACCCTGAGATATCTTGATAATTGCCATTCCGTACAAGCACCAAGCAACTTCAGATGCCTACACTACATACATATTACGACCATCGCGTGGACAACGCCACCAAATAGAACGAGATGGCACCTCGTAGATACATATGAGCAGCTGAACTATAGTACATCTCGGATGAGAGTTGCAAAGCTACCGAACCTATCAGACAGGACCAGCTTGATCCCGCGGCGCCAGGGTGAGGATCCGATATCCGGGTCATCCTGTGGATCTACTATTCGTGACCAGGGTCGGCCTATCCCCGTCAGTAATACAGGCAGACTATGACTATTTAGCTTATGCATGAGGTTCCTAGCCCGTATACACTGGAGGCTGAGCCAAGATAGGGCTTGGCTTCGAAACCCTTGAACATTCTTCGAAATTACAAGCCTAGGGTTTGTGTTGTTGTGATGCAAGGCATGCGACTGATATCTGTCCTAGCTATGGCGCTCGGGATACCCTTCACCCGGGAGCGCGGATTTACAACAGATAGGCCCAAAGTTTAAGACAAGTCAGTGGTCCACGGTGGCTACCAACGGGCACTTACTAGAGGCTTCGTCGACGCCAGAGGCGCAACATGAAGCAACCAGTACGGAAGCCACTGACAGACTAAACTCATCCCTCACCCTCGGAACGACCAGTCCTCTGGAGCGGAACCGGGGAGGAATCAAGGTCAATGGTTCTCGGAGGATTGGGTCAATCTGAGCGAAGTACCGTAAGTCTCCAACGGGGCAGCAATCAGCCAATATGGGGCCCTCAAAGCTCAAGCACTCAACGCATTCCACAGCGAACACAAGATCAGAACATACCATAGTACAACGGACCCTAGAAAGATGGACCCTAGAGTCGAACGCGATGCCATTGCCAAGAGCTATACCAACCAACAATGACCGTGATGACCGCCTTGGCTACGAGACTTGCGAAATAGCTCAGATAGGGTCGATGATGAGACGGGTCTAAGATTGCTCAAAGCTCCGGGGCCGGAGCCAGAGAGTTTCACTGGATAATAGATGTCAATAGATGGAGAAACAGAACTCCGACTATCATGCCCTGGTGGACGATACATGGGGTAAAGAGTCATGGGGCTATTGTAGATCCTCACGGGGATCTTGGGTCGAGCATTGATTACGTGCAATTATACGGATTGAAGCCTCACCAGACAACTGCTGGCATCCGTACCCATCATGAGAATATCAAGACAAGACAAGACAAGGCCCCTGACAGGGTTTTGACGAAGCTCATTCAATTGCTTTACCCACTGGACTGGCTAAAACGAAAAAGACCCAGTCAAGTCGAATCACATCATTATGTATCACATCGTGAACTCCACGAAGCATGGGTTTAATCATTGTTGGCAAGGGGTCCATCCTCTAGCACAGCAACGGAATTGTGGCTGGCGAGATATGGATCACAGCACACAAGCAAGCCATGATCAAAGCCTGCGCTGCGGGTGACCATTTGCGGCTGTTTCTCTTTTTTCCCTATTTTCTGGGGTAAAAAAGACAAGTTCATGATTGGGAATTGCTTGCTTTTTTGCGTTACCTTCCCCTTCTCCACGGGTTCGGTTCTCGTCACCCTTGCCAGCAGCAGTTACCAAGTTCTCGGGTCTTGGTTCTTGGTCACAGTTGGTAATGGCAATCAATTCGCGCTGCCAAACTCTAATCAAACTGTCAAAGGTCCATCCCGCTCAAGCTGCGCGGGATGAACCTCACGATCAGAGTTTTTTTGTCTCATCTTGAATGCAACGCTGAGCAAGGTGGAAAAGCAAGATTCGTGTTGGCGGCGGGAGAAAGATGGCTCTAGTCGGGGGGGAGGCCCTGCTGGGATGGGAGCAAGGAACCCTTTCAGTGAGACGTCATTGATGCAACGCGACGTTGGAGAGAGATACTGAAAACGGTTGAGAAAAATGGATTGCTGACGATTTCAGCTGACGGACGCGCATCAAAATCAGCTCAGCTTTTCAACTGCCGAGACACGTTGGTCGTCACTGTCAAGAATAGAATACACCAAAACTTGGAGAAGCCATTGTGAGGTTGAAGGATCTTCCACACACGCAATACAGTACAAATAAACAAACAAAATTCTTACCAAGCTTACGTTTGAGGTGCTTCTGAGCAAAGAATGACGCCATGCAGGATGTTGTCTGTCTGTCTCCGTCTAGGTCCGGCGGAACCATGTCCATTTGCTCGGGGAACCTGGCAGAGAAGATTCTTTTTTCCTTCCAAAGTCTCAAAGAGGGAGCTCACCTGCAAGCCCTAAAAACTCAAAGTAACACAAATGAGCTGTCAGCAGCGGCTCACCACGGCCTTGAGGTTTAGGGGGCTATATCCTTAAAACCGCCCTGTGCTGCTATTCCTCCTGGGGGGGTTACTCCTAGCCGCGCCGCAGCATAGACTTTTCGCCCCGAATTGCGACCGCAGTTTATTAGGTTGTCTTGCTTTTTCCTCGGGCGACTGCGAAATGTGTAGTCCATTTGTCCGAGTCTATCAGTGCTTTACGAATTGCCACGCTGAAAAGTGACAGAATGAATGCATGCAGTGGAAATGGCTTTTGCGCTTTCAGGGCCGACAACTCCTCAAAGGAGGCATCTTGTCCGCTTGGGACTGACTGAATGCTGGCTCCGTGCGCTGCAGCCAAAGTATTCCTGTACTGTACTTACACGGGGGATCTGCAGGGAGTGGATTTCTGAATTGTTTCTTGTTAAATGTTGGCGGGGAATCCGAAGACTGCAGCAGAGTTATGATTGATACAGAGGGCCGAAGCATGGCTCCATCTCCATTGCCATGTGCCCCGGCACCTGATCTGGGGATTGGTTCTTGGGTTTGGGACTTGACCGCAAGATGGTCGACGGTATGGTACTCACAGATCAAACAAGCAGCCGTGATGATGCCATATGGGGGCGGGTTTGGATCGACGCCGTCGAGTAACAGTAGAGTTAGCATGAAAGGGAGGATCAGTGATACGACTCGCGATAAGCATGGCTTGTGCCGTTTCCACTTGATGGTAACGCTCCCACGTTTTGTCCGACTTCTGATACTGTACTAAGGTCAAGGACGAGCGTCCGGTGGTGGTTTACTTTGGCTTTACAGTACGCTCACTTACTGATGGCCCCCCTGGTTCCACGTGCTCCACCGCTACACTACGATCCTTGGATCAACTGTGGAAGAGTCGCAGAGACCTCCGAGAGGTTAGAACCGCGAAGCGCGCTAACTAGGGAGCCGTCACTGGCGACCGACTGGGTCCCCTCACACCCTGACCCCGACTCCGACTACGCCGGATATCGGCTAGGTTAGAGGGATGAAAGTCTAATCCTGCAGGGGTCATAGGCTACGACAGTGCATAGTGGGTAGTGGGGGGAGCGCGGCAGGGATGGGCTCTCGATTCAGTGCTGCAGAGTGTCATCTTGGTGCCCTGGGACTTGTCCATTTTCCACGCTTCTGGGGGAGCTTCCTTGGGGGCCACGCTACGCTACAGCACAGTACAGTACACCATGAGTTAACTACAGTACCTTGCTCAATGTTCAGGTTCAAATTCAAGTTCAAGGTCAACAGTCAACTCTCTTCAGGGCCCAACCATCTAAGGGCACCCCGGGCATATGGGCTCTGAGACAACAAGTACACCCTTGTTTTATCAGGATGGGAGATACTGAGGCACACACAACAGACAAGACCATCGATATTCCATGATTAATCGAGGATGCATAGCAGAGAACAGCACGACGCCTCGAAGCAAGGCATGGTTGGAATAATACGCCCGCCGAATGACTCCACCGCTAATTGCAGTGACATTTTACTGCATAGCAAGGCAGATGATTGGATTCATCAATCCTCTGGTTCGTCTGTAACATGGGCATGGCTATCGGAGATGGTACTGTAGAATCGAAAGCAGCGGCGAACTCGAATACTTCTGACGGCCAAATGAAATGCAAAAAGACATGCGTTGAGATGTTTCGATGCATCGGAGCCAAAAAGCCAACGGTCCAATAGAACGGTGACTCTAACTGCTAACGTGCTGTCAAGCGAGGAGAATATTACGATACTTGCCTTACAGTCAGCCGCAGAGTCCACATCGATAACGATTGATTCCCCAGGACACAACGGGGTCTCTTCCTGTTGCAGACAATAGAGGCGAGAGACACGAATTAACTTGACGGTAGAGGCGGCCCTCGAGCGAAGCTCTGTTCAGCTCAGCGCAAGAGAAAGGGTCCGAGAGCTTGCAGTGGAGCGTCAATCAATCTTGGAATCACAGCCACGAGGAAGATGGGACCCGCCGAGTTTACTTACTGTAGTGTTGTTGTCCATTCATTGAAGACAATTGAGAGGGGGGAGGAGGAATTGGTTATTGGGTCAAATCAAGGTCAGGCAGGTCAGGCCAGACGAGACCATGCCATTGAATGTCTACGGTCATGTCTGGTTTGTGGATATGAAAAACTGGACATTCTTGGAAATGCTATTCTGAAAGTCTGCCTATCGACGACGTTGAAGAAGAATTGGGTTGGCCGAAAGAGACAATAAGCAAGAAACGCTCGAGAAGCAGGGATAAGCCACCCCAGACTGGAGAAGAAGAAGAAGAAGAAGAAGAGTCTCTTGAAGTGGATGTACACATTCGAGGTCCTCAGTACAAGCTCAAAGTACACTCATTCAAACTCAGCCAACCTAAGAAGAAGCGTGGCGCACCGGACCGCGCATCAGGACCAGCACCAGCTCCATCTCCAGCACGTACCAGAAGGACCCACGCTCTACCAGCCTTGTTGTTGCTGTTCCATTGCTCGCTCGCTCACCCATGGCCATGAGCCGGACGGACCAACGCTAACACTAATACCAACAGGGAGCATGATGGCCTCCCACTCTAGGGGGTGTGCCTAGCCATGTCTGAAGGGTCCGTCATGAGGGTACGTACACGTCGAGCACGCCTCCTCCATTGGACATACACCTTCCCCAAGACGAAAAAAAGAAAAAAAGAGGATGGGTTCGTTCGTTGTTCTACGCCAGAGACGCTATAAGGAAAATGGTTATAAACAACACCCCTTGTCCCTCGTCGATCAACTCTAGTACAGTAGCGTAGCTGGGCCGATCTCCATGCGAACACTTACTTGCACGACCTTGACCTTGACCTTGACTTAAGACTACAAGGACTCCACAGACTTCAACAGCTTCTACTACTACCATCTCATCTCATCCTAACTCAAACCCATTCACCACACCTCACCTCACTTACATATATACACCATCCAGGGACCCTTCCTTTCCTCACCTTGACTTGAGGTTTCATCCTTCGTACTTGTATAACATATCCGTCACATACAAGTCTTGGCCTTCTATATATATACTCACTTCACAATCCACATACATACTCTATCTTGTCAACTCAGCTCGACTTGACTTGACATGATCGCATCGCCCACCTCGTCACCGTTGTCTATGCCTTACTCTACTTCACCCGACTCACGCACAATCACCTACTCCTCACAAGACAACAACACCGACAACATGGCCCGCTCATCATCAGCCGAGCCCGCAAAGAGCTCTAAGCGAAAGGGTAAGTAAACAAAACCTAACCAGCCACGCGGGACAGAAAAAGCAAAAACAAAACATGCATACATCGCGCCCACGCAGCAAAGCAATTCGATTTAAATACCCATGATCAACACTAACTGACACGCAACAACAACAGGCACACGAAGCGTCTCTACCCTCACACCTTCACAACTCGCGCGCAAGAGAGCCAACGACCGAGAGGCTCAAAGGGCTATCCGGGCGCGAACCAAGGAGCACATTGACCGCCTGGAGCGCGAGCTGGAGGACCTCAAGAGCAAGCAGAGCCGTGATCAGACAGTCCAGGAGCTTCTGCGACGGAACCAGGCGCTCGAGGAGGAGCTCATGCGACTCAAGGAGAACATGGGCGTCTCAATGACCTCGTCGCCTTACTCTGCACCTGGTACGGCTCTCTCTGTCTCCATCCCGACGTCCTCGTCACCACACAACAGCATTCTGACCAGCCCCTCAGTGTACGATGATAACCTCAGCACAGGCAGCGGTGCCATCCCCAGTCCTCGCGGCTCCCCCTTCCCTTCTGGCGACTACAGCCCCATCCCCGACTATGGACAGCAATATGTCCCCCTCCCTAACAACTGCGAGTCATGGGCCAGCACAGTTCCCTGCCCCGTCCCCTCCAACGTCTCAAGCCCTTCCTCATCTGCCGACGACTACAGCGCCGGCTACATTCCCACAAGCGTGCCTACCTCGCTGCTGCCCTCAAACAACACAAGCTCTTCCAGCATCAGCGTGGGCCACGCTCACAAGGATGTGATCAAGATGGAGTATGAAGATGTTGACTCTCACGGTACGGTCACCCAGCAACACCCAGCAATCTCACACTCGCTCTCGAGACAGGAGACTAATCACACTCAGTGTCTAGACGCCGGATTCCGCCTCAGCAACCCCTCGCTTCAACCCGTGTCCCATACTTACATGGCTCAACAGCAGCAGCCCGCCTGGAACATGTATCCCGTCTACTACCCCCAGGCTCAGTCCTCGGTCCATTGAAGGGCCAGACTCGACCGGGCTCATCCTGGCCGGGATCTGGGCCCGTTCTCACCACTCCGCCGGCCTGTCGCTTCGATGAGCTCTTAGTCGGCTTCCTCCAGGACTGCCGTCGCATGATCACCGCAGAGTCACTAGCTCACACTCTTGGCCCCCCTCAGATAGACGTACGCTCACTGTTTCGCGGCCATGATAGCCACGGTCAGATCGCCTGCTCACCTCATCCCATCACCGACCTCATCCGCAGCCTTATCGACACAGCAGGAATGACACGACTGACTGAGCGCATCGCCATCTTTGCGCCTCTGCAAACCATGATCTGTTGGCTCGTGCAGCCTACTCCAGAGAGACGCGCGCGACTATGTGAAGACTACGTGCCGCGAGAGCGCCAACTGACAACTCCGCACCCTCAATGGCTCGATCTGCTCCTCTGGGGCAGTCTGCGCGAGGCCGCCATCGAGCGACAGGACCTCTACGCTACAGACGAGTTTCAACGGGTCTACTTCGACGCGCTGCGCCTTGTCAATTGGCCTTATCAGCCGCTAGACGGCCTAGTCACAGATCCGCAGACGGGCCACGTTGGGCTCACGGATGCCCTCATGGCCCATGCCATGAACGGTTCAAACTGGCGCCTGGCTGAGACCTTTGCCCAACGATACCCTGAGCTTTGCGGGCTAGTGGCTCTGGAGTAGAAAGCCTGTCTGATGGGGACCGGCCACACCTCTCTCACTTTGACATGACTCTTCACCTTACCTCACCTTCACTTTACATGATTCGACTCTTGTATCATGGATCACATGCTGTAAGGCATGTCATGACATCGTGGGTTAACACGGCACCACAGAATGTCGATCCAAAAACTTACCGCGTACTGGGATTATCCGCCGCGGCAAGTCTCTATCCTGCTCCAACCCACGTCGATCATGCCCCATCCCACACATTCACATACCTACTCTACCAACTACCACTACTACATCGTCATCATCTTCTCACAAAACAAAAAAAAAAAAAACAAATCATTGACATGACATGACATGAAACTTTTAGAGGAGGAATCAAAGTACCCCACAACATCTCTAACGGCCATACTATACTTCTTACTGTACTGTTAACATTATGGGAAAAGCTACATTGTTACTAGACATGTACACTTAAACAGGAAAGGGACGGAGGCGTGCAATTTGGAACACACACACAAGCATTGGGACAAATCTAAGGAAATTCACTTTTGGCGATATGCGGTTCTTGTTTCTAGAGGCGTTTTTTGACATGCATCACTGGGTGTAAGATGGTATTACCCATGTTCTTACTAGGTACTTTTAACGAATCAAGATACACACATTGGATTCTCACACTCTGGCCTCAATTCTTCCTCCCATGGATCGTGATTGCAACTTCTACTACGAGCATCTATCTTTTGACTAGCAGGCGGGCCCGACGATGAAAATCCTCTGGTTTCATTTTACCCCATACGCTTACATGGTCGATGACATTCCAAAACCCTGCATAGACCCTTGTCCAATTTCGACCTGTAATTGATAGTATATTCCCATATCTACCAGGGTGTGTACGTTGCTGTACTGTGCTGTATGTATGTATGTAGTGTTGTTGTTGTTTTTTAAAATTATCCTTCTCTTTTCTTTACTGTTAAGCATCTTCTACATACGTAGGAGAGTTACATCGAAATGCATCTCCACCGCCCTGTTCCCGTCACGCACATGGCTCAGAGTCCAAAAGAGGGAGGGGTGTCGAGCATTGGGCAGTCTGAAGGTCCCCACTTACAGTGTATGGTTAAACCCACAGACAAGGGAGAGGATATCTGATATCGGTCCAGCGCTTATACTGCTAATAGTCTAGTTGATTATCCCCCTATGCACGAAGGGGTAAAAACTGTTCCAGCAACGACAGGCATGCTGCTGTTAGTTGGTATCTCACCTTGAAGTTTTTTTTGGAGCAGATATACCTGATACCGATAATAATGCTCACCGCGTAGCTTACTTTTGTCCTGCCGAAAGACGTCAGTTGTCCACCTTGACTACAACTATATCATTTCTCAGTTGCATCGCACATGTCACTGCTCGAGCCCCTTGTGGGAGATCTCGAGCAGAGAAAATTCGCAACTTTGAGCCGCAAGAACACCAAGTACAGTGACTTGAGATACTTATTTTTGCCTCCCACGTTCACAAGTACAAGTTTTTCCAATCTTGTAAAAGATCGTGGCGAAACTGCATGGACACGCACGTGGTCCATCCCTTACCATATGGCCCTTGTCTCGCAATGACAGCTTGACACAATCTCATACGGCCACATGCGTATTCTAAACATGGACTTTTGCCATTCCGAGGGAGCAAGCACAAAGTTTAGTCTCAGGTTAGACTTGAGCAGAGCTCCGAGGTAAATGTTCCGTCCTGTGCCGTGCCGTTTCTCTTGTCTTTTCTCAAGAGTCGGGGTGGCGTCACAGTCTTGTATGCCCAAAACGGTGATTTCCATATTATCGGTGCGACACCGACAAACCGACACCGATACCGACACACACACAGCAGAGTCTTAGCCCTCCGGAGCTACGTAATAGACATTCTTCGCGGAAGTTCCGTCTAGATTCCGTGAAATAAGGGCGTAAAACAGCCTTGAACGTTATGTTTCGCGGAAACTCTATTTGTTTCCGTGATCCCGTCGGACGTTTTTCTCCATTGGCAACAGGCAAAAGCAAAGAAGCGATTGTACTACATTGCGGCTCGAGCCTCAATTCGTCAACGGTGGTTTGTACCACCGACTATCGGAAGAAGACGACGGTTGGTCGGAGAGGGCGAAACAGAGGCTTCTTCACGCAATTGCTTGGCTCAAAGTAAAGTACCTTGCAGTGATAGACAGACCCAAAAGATACCGACCGGGTTGTTCCCGCGGGAAACAATGGGCACTAAAAAGTCCCCTCCGCATCTGCATCTGACTTCCACCTGAAGCCTCAAGGTAAGGCCTGCACTGACACTGAAAGTGAAACTGGTGACACTGAAGATCGGCCACCAAACATCCCCCAACTTTCAGTTGGCCATTGCTATCCTGCTCTTCTGAACTGTAGGCGACTTTCCCCTTCCGAGTATGCACTTCGCCAGCAGAAGGGACGCACAGGCATTTCCCAACCTAGCGGTGCAACGAAGCAACAGTCCCGTGAGACACTGACAGCAGCAACTCAGGGTTTTATTGCGTAGGTGGCTTGGCCTGTCTGAGCCCTTCTTCACGCAAAGCGCGGGCATTTAATTGTTTTGTTTCAATTTTTCATCGCAATTCAGACCCCGTTGTCGTTAAGGCGGCAAGCTCCTGTATGTACAACAATGACCTGCATCTGACGTCTGACGCCCAGTTTGCGGTGAAGACGCCCAGATGTGTGGGATGCACAATGTACAATGCGCTGTGCTGTGCTGTGCTGTGCTGTGCTGTGCTGTACACCGCAACATGTTGCGCCGTGAGAAGGGAGCAGATCAGCTCCAGGGCTAGAAAACCTAGAAGGGGCCTGGAAGACTGCTCAGAAGGGTGATCGAAGCCAATGCAAGGCCAATCTGCAGGAGAGAATGACATCGGCACGTGTTGTGTGGATGCAGCGCAATTCGGGAGGGAGGGTGAAAAGGGTACCGTACCTCACAGCGCTTCAAAGTCCTGTACGTACTGTCTTGCCTCCAACTTCAACTGCTGCACAGCCGTTTCTTCTTGACTGAAAGATGAAGACGGTTGCGTTGAGTTGGAAGAAATGCGTCTAACTAAAGAGGGCGAAGCGGTCCGAGGTATGGAGAACTATTAGACAAATAACGGTATATGACAGGCTGAATTTATCGAGGACGCTAGAGTTGCAGAATCAAGGGGCTCTGTAGGGTTATAGAGTTTGCGCTAGAAGGTTGCTGCAGCTTCTTTTCCATGGAAGTCAGAGGTTGAAGTGAGGTGCTGTGATCGAGGAATCATCGACGCTCCAGGGGGGGCCTTGGAACTGCAGGATGGGGGCTCCTCATGCAGGAGTAACGAACAGTGAGACATGCTACGTCAAAAGAAGATGGAAGGAAGTCCTGCCGAACAAAGGCGTCAGTCTGTTGTCTCCATCTCTTCTCTAATGGTGTCCTCGTCAGCGTCGAATTCCGTCCTGTTACCGTTTCTGTCGTGTCAACCATGCAACCACACAGACACACATGGCTCAAAACGGACTAATACCAGCCAAATTCTCTTGGGGCTGACTTGAGAGATGCCACAATTCGTAGAGTTTAATCACCGTAATTATACCTTTAAATCAATCTGTTGGCTCGTTCGTTGCTAGAGAGAAGCCTGGGTTGAAGGTCCAAGATTGAGTTTGCCGCGCCCAGGGGTCGTTGTGGTTCCCCGATCAGTTATACAGTTGCATTATCTGTGGTTGTCTTCTGCAATGATGACATTCTTCCCTCGAGAACTGGCAAATGCGAGGCCAGGAAAAGCGCCTATACCGCTGCTCGATCGTCGTTCTTGTCCTATCCTTTGTACACTGTCATATGCACAGATACGGCACTGCTATTGCCAGCACATCATAAAAAAAGTCATTTGACTAATATCGTGGTGTAGAATTGAATATGGCGATCCGCCTCGAGCCGTTGGGATAATCCTGGCTGCAATTACAGGCCTTGCAGCGACCCCTGGGCCGTTCGCCATGGACCCCCGTTCGCACTGAGACTGAGTGGACGTGGCCTGCATGGATTTGGTGACAGGGGTTGGGGAGATCATGACGCTAGTAGGGGCCCTAGAATATCTCATTCAACCTATCAGCAAATAACGTCTCGGCATATCACTCATGCGCGGCTGCTTAAAATTGCTAGACGGTGAACTGATGTGCAGTCAGAAAAAGAAACAACCATGTGAACAGCTGCGCCAAGACGTATGAGCCGGATATCCATTGAGCCCATGATCTTCAATTAGGCCTCAAGCCAGGGATTAGTTGAGTAGCGGCACGATTTGCGAGTATGTAGAGATGAGGTTGGACGCAAGTGGATCGCCCAACTTCCCATCGCCCTTCAGAAGAACTAAGAGACCAGATCAGTTAGCTCCATCTATGTACCTAAAAACCACGAGGCAAGCATGGATGGGGCCTTAAGGGACTGAGGTGACAGGAGACACAACTAGAGTCTGAAAAAAGGCCCCTGCGTTGCACAGACATGGCTGCAGGAAAAGAGACCGACTGCCGTTCTCATTACTCAACGAAAGGAGAATCCGCCGCTTTCGTTCAAGAGGCCCGAGGAAGTGTTGCATCCTCTGTTGATATCTCATACGTAAAACCTTCGATGTTTTATGAAACCCTCATCATGGAATATGTACTTGCTGTGGCTGAGTGTGGCTGACAGCAAGGTTCTTCTCGAACCAACTGCAGAAGACAATAGAGTTTGTTCTTGCAGCATCTGAAATCTTTGATGCACGCCCTCACTGCTACCAGGCACGTGGCGAGGCGCCAACCATGCGATGTAATGGGGTCGCTCGAATGTAAAAAGGGGGTCAAGGACGAAGTATCTCAAGTACTCGATACTCGTGTGTCAAAAATCCTCCGTGTCTCCATCTCATCTGCCAAAAGAGACGGGGCATTTCGTAAGCTAGACCGACAGAGTTTGATGGTTGTTGCTTGCACAGCGGCAAGCCATGTGGACGTGGTGATACGCGTGCGCGGCAGGGCTGGACCGTACGTACAGAAGCT